GGAAGGATTCACTCCAAGACAAGTCAAGGCTGCGATGGAAGCGAGAAGTGCAATGCACATACTCAATGCTCCAAGCACCAAAAGTCTGAAGTATGCGATCCGATCTGGTCTCATCAAGAACTGTCCTTTCACCAAAGAAGCGATCAATCATGCCGAAGCAATTGAAAGGCAAGTCAACAAGACCAACTCCAAAGAAGACGTACGACAACTTCTTCAGTCCACCAGAGGAATTATATCAGCACAATCGATCTATTACCATCTGTATTGATCACATGGAGATTGGAGATGCTAAGTTTCTCACCTGCATCGATACCACTGTGAGTTATTGCTCATGTATTCCTGTGCAGAACCTGAAGACTGGCACCATATTTGAAGCATTGGATAAGATATTCTGCCGCTACAACAAGGCAGGCTTTCAAGTCAAGATCATCAAGTGTGATTGGGCGTTCATTCCTCTCACGGATGATATGCTAGACGATATGGGTGTTACTATTGAACCGACTGCAGCTGGAGACCACGAGCCTACCGCTGAGCGAAACAATAGGACGCTGAAAGAAAGGGTCAGAGTAGCTCTTGCACGATTACCCTACAAAGTGGTCCCAAAGGTGATCACTGAATGTCTTGGACGTCAAGCCGCCGAGCTATTGAATGTCTTTCCCCAGAAAGACAGTATCTCATCACATTTTAGTCTGCAGCAACTCATTGATAATGTGAATATCAACTACAAGAGTGACATGGTTGCTGAACTTGGACAATATGTTCATGCAATTGGGACGGATTCCAACAATTCGATGGAACCCCAAAGTATTGAAGCGATTTACATTGAACCTACGAAGGGACAACGTACTGGGCACCGAGTGCTCAACCTCAATACTAAGAAGATGAATTCCTCACCCAAGGTTGTCGTACTACCCGTTACCGACTAAGTAATCGAGCGTGGTGAAGCTTGGGCTGCTGCCGAAGGTGTTACTTCCATCAAGTTCTTTGATAGCTAAGAAGAGAGATTTGGAGACATTTCAAGATGGCGATCAAATCACAGGAGTGGATGATACGGAACAAGGTTACTTAGAAGAAGCCTTTGATCAGGACTATGAACCTGAAGATGAAGATGAACGTGATTTCAACCTATGTGGACAATTTGATGATATTGATGACTTGGAAAGAGAAGAGCTCTTGGCAGATGCAGACAATGATGTCAATGTTATGCCAGAACTCACTGTCAGATTCCAAGGAGATGATGACTATGAATCAGATGAGGACAACAATTTGGGTGATAAAGAGGAAGAACCTATTGTGGCCGATTTGGATCACCATCAAGAAAATGTCGATAGAGGAACCAATGATATTGGAAGCCTCGTTACTGATCTGGAGGACCTACAAGAGCCGCCAGAAGCAGAAGAGATTGTATTTGAGCCTGAAACGCCTCAAGTAGCAAAAGTCACTCAATCTGGGCAAATGTATGCGCAAGCTGCAATGTCTGGGCTGAACCTTTCTCAAGTTCCAAAGAAACCAAGAGAATGACCTTTGAGCATGAGTGGCAGTTCTGCCAATAAGAACAAGAATCAAGTTGCACCAAGACGCAAGCATCAAGAGAGAGAATTGAAACTGTTGAAGAACAAGTTAAAATCTGGCATTCGTACCAAAGAAGGAAGTTGCAGTACTAAAGACAGTAAAGCTATCCTTGAAGCACAGCACAATCTATGTTTCCAACAGATTGGGAATGAGATGAAAGCTGATTATAAAGAGCACGACGCTATTCTGATCGCTCGTTGCATGCTGCAGATCAAGGCCAAGTTCGATACTGACAAAGGTCTGAACTTCATCCAACAGTATTACATCAAACAAGGACTTAAGAAGTTTGGTGATGATGGAAAGGATGCTGTGGATAAGGAATTGAAACAAATGCTCCTGAGAGATTGTTTCACTCCCAAATTTGTTAAAGACATGACCGCGTCTGAGCGAAAGAAGGCCCAATCAGCAATGATGTTACTCGTGGAAAAGCAATTTGAAAAGACAATTAAAGGTCGCCTAGTATTCGGAGGTGATGGAACTTGTGAATGGTTATCGCGAGAGGACACTGCAAGTCCAACTGCTTTGCAGGAAGCAACAACCACTACTTGTGTTATTGATGCACACAAAGGTAGAGATGTAATGATGCTGGACATGCCTAACGCTTTCATTCAAACTTACACGCCTGATGCTAAGGAAGGAGAAGATCAAATCTACATGAAAATCACTGTCATGATGGTCCAGATATTGATTGACATGGCCCCAGAGTATTGTGAATATGTTGTATTAGAGAACGGAAAGCGAGAAATCTATGTGCGGGTACTACGCGCTGTATATGGGATGTTGCAATTGAGCCTCCTATTTTATAATCAATTTCAAAGTGATTTGGAGGCAAAGGGATTTGTTTTCAATCTGTATGACCCGTGTGTTGCTAACAAAGTTGTTAATGAAAACAGAAAACTATCAGATTTCATGTTGAAGATCATATGTCAAGTCACATGGATTCGAAAGTAAATGACAAATTTGCTGAGTGGTTGAACATGAGATATGGTTTGATCCAGCCATGTAAATTGTCAGAGGAAAGATACACAGATATCTTGGAATGACTTTGGATTTCTTGGTGAAAGGAAAACTCAAGATCCGCATGGACGACTATGTCAAGAACATGTTGGAAGATTTTCCTGTCAAGTTCAACAAGGATTCAAAGCAGGAAACACCAGCTGGTAACGATTTACTGGAAGCTGGGAAAGGAAAGTTACTCAATGCTGAGTACCGTCAAATCTTTAATACTACTGTTGCAAGGGGACTTTATGTCTCTAAGAGAGCTCGTTCGGATATCCATCCAACGATTACTATTCTTGCCTCGAGAGTTCAAGAACCTACAGAGTCTGATTGGAAGAAGTGTGTTCGCATGATGCAATATTTGTTTTGTACATCGTTGTATCACCTGACACTTTCCGCAGAATCACTACGAGTCATGAAATGGATGATCGACGTATCATTTGCGGTGCATCCAGATCTCAAGAGCCATACTAGCGGCACTCTGTCCTTTGGAGGAGGTGCGGATCAAGTGATGTCGAAGAAGCAAAAGCTAAACAGCAGAAGCAGTATGGAAGCGGAACTGATTGCTGTTGACAATGTTGTCACGATGATACTATGGACAAAGTTGTTCATGGAGTGGCAAGGGTATCCGATCGAGAAAAATGTCTAGTATCAGGATAATAAAAGCGCAATTCTACTGGAAGAGAATGGTCGCAAGAGCGCTGGCAAAAGAAGCCGAGCTATCAATATTTGTTATTTCTTTATCACAGATCAAGTTGCAAAAGGAAATGTTAAGGTCGAATACTGTCCAACTGACGATATGATTGCGGATTTCATGACTAAGCCATTGCAAGGTGAGAAGTTTCGCAAGTTCAGGGATCTGATTCTTGGTCCACAGGACTAGGTCAGACAAGTATGTATATGTTCAAAAATGAAAATACAAAACAAAAACAAACAGTGAATGAGAGCATGTCCCATTGCTGCCAATGGTGATTGTCACAATGGCAGGAGTGTGTTGGGATATGACGAAATAGCAGAAACTCGTTTCGGAATTTGTGATTGAGACTCAGTTGTTGCCTTAAAGTCGAAGAAAAAAGTGTGGCTGGCAATTGTCCGAAGATGGGATTTTGATGACTTTGCAATTTGCTTTGGTGGATTACCCAGTACATTTGTTCAAGGAGCAAAAGAACAAGGTATCCAAAAAGATTTTCTTGAATGGATGGATGGAAGAGGATTTATATATGATAGAGTTGCTACTGGAATGGAACTAGATGGAATTTACATAGTACCTAATAATTTAAATGATGATATGGAAGGGTACTGTGCTGGATCAAAATGCCCAATGAACTCTTGAAACACAATTTGAACCTGGATTTTTGCATCAACATTATGTTTATCAACAATGTCGCGTTTTTTGTCAGTATTGACAAAGCGATCAAATTCCCATTCTGTACTGAATTGAAAGATTGGACAAAAGATGCTATTTACAAGTCAATTGACAAAATTTTATGCATTTATGATCATGCAGAATTTTTAATCAAAACTATTTATTGTGACAACAAATTCAAACCGGTATTTGATGACATGAAAGATAACATGGACGTGACCATGAATTATGCCATGCCAGGAAAACACAAACCAACTATTGAGCACAGCAATCAAACATTAAAAGGATTATTCCAAGCACACTATCATTGAATGGTGTTCAAGGCAATTCCAAATGTTTTGACTATTGCTTCACTCAAGCATATTACAAAGGTTATTAACTTGGAAATTTCAAAATATTACAGTCCACATATGATTGTGAGACAAAAACTGGTGGATTTTTCAAAAGAATGTGTTGCTGAAATTGGATCCTTTGTACAAGGATAAACGATTGATGGTATTTATCTTGGAGTGAATGACAGCATACAAGGGGAACATATGTTACTTGATCTTCATACAAAAAAGGCAGTAACGAGACCCTATGTAATGGTACTTCCAATCACCAAACAAGTGATCAAAATTGTAGAAAAATGGCACACGACAAGGACGTTTGTGATTTAGGTACTTATCATTGGAAGAATGGTGAAATCATATTGGATGGTGATTTGCTTGCAGGAGTGGACCCAGATGAGCTGTGGGATGATAAATACATTCCACACAATAATGAATACAAACAAGGCGATGAGAATCTTCGTAATGAAAAGATTGATCAAGATGAAATTGATGCTTTACTTGAAGAAGCGGAAGAATTTATTGAAAACTATGATGATGAACACACAAAAAATGTCAAACAAGAGGTGAAGAAGCGGAAGAATTTATTGAAAACTATGATGATAGACACACCAAAAATGTCAAAGAAAAGGCAAAGACAGGAGTGTTGCAAGTATTTATGAACGATTGAGACAGAGAAATGATTATGAAAATTCCAATCAAGATTGTTAGAACAAAGCTGAATCTGCTCTATTGTGAGTGCCCTTAGCGCTCAGAACAAACTCTCTGTAATCTAAATTCGTAATTGACTATACAACACTTTCATGGCAACAGTTCTCCTTTGTTAGGTATACTTTGAGTGAAATTGTTCCTATTTGATTAATGTTTGGCTTGAATTGATGATTCAATCACAAAAGTGAGTTCGACAATTTTCCCTTGGAAAATCCCTTGTTTACAGAACTCAATTTGACTTCTACAAGGATTCTGTGTTGAATACAATACTTTGGGATATCTTGTATTATTCCCTACTGCATCGTACACAACATCAATATCCCACTTGTATAGGGTCATTCCCCTTTTGTGTGGATATAGATTGTCCGACAGACTTGCGTCCGTCAAATCCCGACATCACAATCAAAGTTCGATTGTATGTGTCAAAAACTTTGTACTTGAATAGTTTCTTTCTGGACCGTAAAAACTCATATTTTGTCATATCCCAACACACTCCTGCCATAGTGACAATCGCCATTGGCAGTCATGGGACATGCTCTTGTTCACTGTATATTTTGTTTTGTATTTTCATTTTGAACATATACATACCTGTCTGATCTATTCCTGTGGACCAAGAATCAGATCCCTGAACTTGCAAAACTTCTCATCTTGAAATGGCTTAGTCATGAAATCCGCAATCATATCGTCAGTTGGACAGTATTTGGTCTTAAAATTTCCTTTTGCAACTTGATCTGTGATAAAGAAATAACAAATATTGATAGCTCGGCTTCTTTTGCCCGAGCTCTTGCGACCATTCTCTTCCAGTAGAATTGCGCTTTTGTTATCCTGATAAAAGATATTTGTCTCGATTGCATCCCTTGCCACTCCATGAACAACTTTGTCCATAGTATCATCGTGACAACATTGTCAACAGCAATCAGTTCCACTTCCGTAATGCTTCTGCTGTTTAGCTTTTGCTTCTTTGACATCACTTGAGCTGCGCCTCCTCCAAAGGACAGAGTGCCGCCAGTACGGCTCTGCAAATGATACGTCGATCATCCATTTCATGACTCGTAGTGATTCTGCGGAAAGTGTCAGGTGATACAACGATGTACAAAACAAATATCGCATCATGGGAACACACTTCTTCCAATCAGACTCTGTAGGTTCTCAAACTCTCAAGGCAAGAATAGTAATTGTTGGATGGATATCCAAATGAGCTCCTTTAGAGACATAAAGTCCCCTTGCAACAGTAGTATGAAAGATTTGACGGTACTCAGCACTGAGTAACTTCCCTTTACCAGCTTCCAGTAAATCGTTACCAGCTGGTGTTTCCTGCTTTGAATCCTTGTTGAACTTGACAGGAAAATCTTCCAACATGTTCTTGACATAGTCGTCCATGCGGATCTTGAGTTTTCCTTTCACCAAGAAATCCAAAGTCATTCCAAGATATCTGTGTATCTTTCCTCTGACGATTTACATGGCTGGATCAAACCATATCTCATGTTCAACCACTCAGCAAATTTGTCATTTACTTTCGAATCCATGTGACTTGACATATGATCTTCAACATGAAATCTGATAGTTTTCTGTTTTCATTAACAACTTTGTTAGCAACACACGGGTCATACAGATTGAAAACAAATCCCTTTGCCTCCAAATCACTTTGAAATTGATTATAAAATAGGAGGCTCAATTGCAACATCCCATATACAGCGCGTAGTACCCGCACATAGATTTCTCGCTTTCCGTTCTCTAATACAACGTATTTGCAATACTCTGGGGCCATGTCAATCAATATCTGGACCATCATGCCAGTGATTTTCATGTAGACACGATCTTCTCCTTCCTTAGCATCAGGCATATATGTTTGAATGAAAGCGTTAGGTACGTCCAGTGTCATTATATCTCTACCTTTGTGTGCATCAATAACACAAGTAGTAGACATTGCAGCTTGTGCATACGTTTGCCCAGATCGAGTGACTTTTGCTACTTGAGGCTCTTCAGGCTCAACTACAATCTCTCCTTCTTTTAGGTCCTCCAGATCAGTAACAAGGCTCTCAATATAATCGGTTCCTCTATCGACATTTTCTTGATGGTGATCCAAATTGGCCACAATAGGTTCTTCCTCTTCATTGCCTTCATCACCCAAATTGTTGTCCTCATCTGATTCATAGTCATCATCTCCACCAAATCTGACAGTGAGTTCTGGAATATCATCGACATCATTGTCTGCATCTGCCAAGAGCTCTTCTCTTTCAGAGTCATTGATATCATCGAATTGTCCACGTAGATTGAAATCACGTTCATCTTCATCTTCAGGTTCATAGTCCTGATCAAAGGCTTCTTCTAAGTAACCTTGTTCCGTGTCATCCACTCCTGTGATTTGATCGCCATCTTGAAATGTCTCCAAATCTCTCTTCTTAGCTATCAAAGAACTTGATGGAAGTAACACCTTTGGCAGCAGCCCAAGCTTCACCACGCTTGATTACTTAGTCGGTAACGGGTAGTACGACAACCTTGGGTTGGGAAATCATCTTCTTAGTATTGAGGTTGAGCACTCGGTGCCCAGTATGTTGTCCCTTTGTAGGTTCAATGTAAATCGCTTCAATACTTTGGGGTTCCATCGAATTGTTGGAATCCGTCCCAATTGCATGAACATATTGTCCAAGTTCAGCAACCATGTCACTCTTGTAGTTGATATTGACATTATCAATGAGTTGCTGCGGACTAAAATGTGATGAGATACTGTCTTTCTGGGGAAAGAAATTCAATAGCTTGGCGGCTTGACGTCTAAGACATTCAGTGATCACCTTTGGGACCACTTTGTAGGGTAATTGTGCAAGCGCTTTCTCTTTCTTTCAGCGTCCGATTGTTTCGCACAGCGGTAGGCTTGCGGTCTCCAGCTGCAGTCGGGTCAATAGTAACACCCATATTGTCTAGCATATCATCTGTGAGAGGAATGAATGCCCAATCACACTTGATGATCTTTGTTAGAATAAAGCAAAATGTGCTCTATCGTGAGTGCCTTTAGCGCTCAGAACAAACTCTCTGCAATCTAAATTCGTAATCGACTGTACAACACTTTCACGACAATAGTTCTCCTGTGTCTAG